GGAGGGAGGGAGGGAGGGAGAGAGGGAGAGAGAGAGAGAGAGAGAGAGAGAGAGAGAGAGAGAGAGAGAGAGAGAGAGAGAGAGAGAGAGAGAGAATATATAAATGAAATTCACAAAACAGTTGACAGAATAAGACCCCCTGATCTGTAGTCCACAAATATAATGGTTAACTTAACTGAAACAATACTACCTCCCCTCCCAAAAACATCCAAAAGTGATTTCTATGGGCTAGAGGTCTTTATTAATTAAAAGAGAATATAAAATATAAATTAAATGTATAGCTGAACCAGAATTACAATTTGGGAGAGAAGTGCTGACTATCCTACATACTACTCTCGAACTATACTTCTAAATAATTCTCTGTAACAACTGCACTGGACAGAAAATTCCTTGCAGATTTTAAGACATACTAGTTTCACATTAAGAAAATTTAAATGTAAAATGGTGGACAGAAGAGAGAATTTTTTTTTTTTGATTACTTACTCACGTTGGTCATAATTAACACACATCAGTGGAACCTCCATACTACAATGCTGATGAAATTTATAACCAGCACTGGAGGCTAGCAAGGGATGGGGCAACAGATTATTTTTCATTATAAGCCCCTCTGCACTATTTTAAAAACCATATGCAGGTACTACTTGGATAAAAATGTAAAAAAAATTATTTATAAAAGATAAAACTAGGGCCGGCCCGGTGGCGCACTGTTACAGTGCGCCGCTTGGGAAGTGCGGTGGTGCTCCCGCCGAGGGTTCGGATCCCATGTGCAGACCGGTTCCCGCTCACTGGCTGAGCGAGGCGCGGGAGCAGCACCAAGGGTTGCGATTCCGCTGCCGGTCCCGGTCCAGTGGCGACACTGAGGATTGCGATCCGTTGCCGGACACGGAAAAAGACAAAAAAAAAAAAAAAAAAAAAAGATAAAACTAATACATAATTATATGCAAATCAGGACCACCCTTCCTAAATTTGCTAAGTAGGATAAGGGATAGAAAAAAGATCTGAAAGACAATAAGGACAACTTTTAACAAGTCATCAATTTGTTAGAGGATCAGAATATTCAGGTCACCTAAACTTAGTTGTGAACATTTCTCTATGCGAAACTTAAAAGGCAACATGTAAGAATTTCATGTCAAAAGCAAATAATGGACAACATAGGTCAAATAAAGAGAACTGTGCTAGAAAGAATTTATATGGCCAAAGCCAGAAACTGTTTAAAATGTATTTGTTCTGTAGAACATAAGAAGGATAAATTAATACCAAAATCTTAACATGGCTATTTCACAGTGGTGAGGCATGGGTGAGTTCTTTTTCATTCTTTGCTCTTTGCCATATATTCTCAATTCATTTCAGTTTTCCAAAGTTTCGATCAAACGATAGTAAGAAATATATTTTACATTATGACCCAGAACATATATATCTGTATTTATTTATAAACAATACTTACCCTGACTATATACATTGTATATCAGAATTTTCTAATCTAAATTATTACATGATACATAATTTTCTAATCTATTTTCTCATGATACATTAAATCGAGTTCAACACCAATACCCTATTTTCAATAAACATATATTTAATGAATAAAATTATTAAAAAATGTTTCATCAAGAAAATTTTATTCTGACACATAATCCACTCTAGCTTTTTGGGAACATTTAAATTGTTATAAAAGTGGCTCTTGTTTTTTTTTCACTTTTTCTATGTATCACTTTCTAGGAGATTAAAAAAAGGCAAGTACTTGTTTCTAACTTTCTTCCTTTTCCATTTGTCTCTGGATACACGAGGAATGAAAAAAATCTCTAATATTTTTATGCGGCCACTATTTAACAAACCAAGCATGTTTTATACAGCTAGCAGAATCTCAGGAAAAAGAGCACGGAAAAATAAAAAATGTTTTCATAAGTATCAGCATTTTTGAGTCATCTGATCCTGTTTGCTAACTGCTCATACCCTCACTTACCTGAAAACGTGTTCAGTTTCATGAAGCCCTCAATTTCTATTCCTTCATTAATCTACTTAATTGTAGCATTTCTTCCTGTCATTGGCTGACATTTTAAAACTACACGTAACTGGATGTTTGTGTATCGAAAGGAGAGAAAAATGAGACAAGGAAGGGGAAGAGGAAGAAAAGTAGGGAGGACAGTCAAATATCTGAGGGGAAGAAAACATGTGGATATGCACTTGAGTATAAATTTTAAGCTTGTATCTGTAAGTACACCTTTGTCAATAAAGGCACATGAAGATATATCTTTCTTTTTGGCCACAGCTTATGATTAATCTGGAAATTGAAAATAACTAAACATGTATGGTAAATTAGTGGGAGGCATAGGCCAGGCAATTTGCATGAATTAATTTGTAAGGTGTGGGGCTGTGTGAAGGATGGCATAGCATCTGTTTCAAATATTGTTTCTCTACTCTCTCCCCTCCACTAGTTCCCAGGGATTCTTGGGATGTAGACAAATACTGAAGGAACTGCTTTTATAACAGACACTATAAAACCAGGAGGCATAAAGCAGCACTCCTTGAATAGCCAGTGAAAATCCAGCACGGAGAAGCAAAGAGAGGAACACTTTTTCTATTCTGAGCAGAACACAGGCTTTTTAAATCTTGCCTGTCATGGCACTCATTCTATAAGACAAATCTAATCATACTTCTCCCCTGCTTACAACTATTACATTTCTAACTATTTTAGAGAAAAGTCTAAATCTTTAACCTGCTTACAGGGATTTTCATGAGCTGAACTCTGCTGATTGTACCCCTAACTACTGCCGCACTGTGAACATCCCCTCCCCCAGCCATGGACCATCCATTCTGAACTTCTTTCAACCTTTCAATACTTCAAAGGTCACATGCTTTCTTGTTGTTTCCTCTGCCTAGAGTATTCTTTACTTGATATTTACTTCCTCATCCATCAGGCCTAAGCTTAGATATTTCTTACTTTGGGAAATCTTTCCGGCTCTTCAAAGGCCAGGTTAGAACTCTCTGTGCATCTGTAGAAATTTATACATACACAGTATTTAAGAATGTTTATGAAAATTTCTTATTAAATTTTCTTTTTCTCTACTCTAAGGCAGGGATGCTGTCTGTCTTTGTTATATCCCTAGATATGACACTATGTTGACAAATGGAAGGTTCTCAAAAAAAAAATTACTGGCAGGTCTCTGTGTTGGGAAGATTTTCATACTCTGGAATTAACATGCAGTTTGCTTTCACTACCGTTTTTGGCAAAGACCTTCCCAAGGCACCATATTAATACTATTTCTCATGCTTAGCAACTTAGGTCTTCTTTTACCTCTTCATATCCAATTTCTAGCTAAGAAAAGTTATTAAGAAAAAAAGTAGTAATCACTATAAGATGTAAGCTCAACTGTTTTGTTTTTTGTTGTTGTTCTTGTTTTGGCAGTTTGTGGGTACGGGGATCTGAACCTGTGAACTTGGTGTTATACGGCTGCACTCTAACCGACTGGGCTAACCAGCCAGCCCCAGCTCAACTGTTTCTGGACTCTTAAGAAGTTAAATAAAAATCTTAACATTTATCCACTCAAAATTCAACAAGTTAAAAAAATGAACAGTAATGAACTTCCTAGCTCATCAATATAATATTTGCTACACAGTAAAATGTTTGACGTTATGTATATCTTACACTTGTCCAAAAGATGCCTTATTTACAGAAGTACAAACCCAATTTCCTTATTCACCACTAATGGAGCCCTGAAAGCACAAACCCCCAAAGAAATTATGTTATCAATTGCCCTAGAAGCCCAACTGGGACTGGCCAGTTAGCTCACTTGGCTAGAGTGTGGTGTTGGTAACACCAAAGTCAAGGGTTCACATGTGCATTGTCCAGCTGCCAAAAAGAAAAAAGAGCCCAGCTGGACTAATCACCAAGACCTAAGGGAAAATATCTGATTCCTAAAGGCTACCAATAACTATCCACCTAGAAAAAAATAAACTATGGTCAAAATTCCATATATATAAAAAATTAAGAAATGCATTCCTGCCTTAGAGATCACTCTAATCCTGACTTCTGCCTATCTTTTTAGAGGATAGGTTCTCAAGTTCTGGGAACTGTATCCTTATGTCTAAGGTGGAAAGGTCCCATGTTCCAAGTCTCATGTTGTTGACACTTAGCTTATGCTAGGTTCTAGCAAATGCAAAACCAATACAAAAGGAGAAGCCTCAAGTAAAGTTTAATACTCAGCACTCCACTTTCATAACCTATCCTTCAGAAACATTTATACAAATGTGCACAAGTGTGCCAAGATGTGTGCAGAAAGATTCTGCTTAGCTCCTATTTTTATAGACCATTACGCAGTCATTACAAAACTACAGTCATGTGTCATATAATGACATTTCAGTCAACAACTGACCACATATATGATGGTGGTCCCCTATGATTGTAACAGTTATACCATATAGTCTAGGTATGCAGTAGGCTATATCGTCCAGGTTTATGTAAATTCACTCTACGATGTTCATACAATGACAAAACTGCCTAAGGACACATTTCTCAGAAAGTATCCCTGTCATTAAGTGATGCAGACTATAAAAAGCTAGGTGTACTGACATGGAAAGATGTCCATAATGTCCTGTTGAACTAAAAAAAAAAAAAAAAGAATATCACACAGCATGACTCCATTTTTGGTTTAAGAAAGAAAAAGGATTGGAAAGTAATAAAGGGAAGGGAGAAAATACTTCAGGGTTACAAGTACGAACACATATTTGTGTATACAGAAAAAATTTTGGAAGACTCCACAATAATCTATTTTTTTTTTTTTGTCCTTTTTGAGACTGGCCGCACCGCACTCAGCCAGTGAGCGCTGTGAGCGCACTGGTCATCCCTGTATAGGATCCGAACCCACGGCGGGAGCGCTGCTGCACTCGCAGCGCCACACTCTCCTGAGTGCGCCGCGGGCTCGGCCCCACAATAATCTATTAATCTATACGCATAAATGTTGGGAGGAACTCTAGGGAGGTATTTTCACTTTTTTACTTGATACACTTTTGCACCATTCAAAAAAAAATTTTTTTTAATAATACACACGTTTTGCTTTTTTTTAATTAAAAAAAGTATAACTATTAAAATTAAACTCTTTAGTTTAGAGACAAGTTTTTAAAGAACAGAACTGATTTTCAATTTAGTTAAGAATTGTCAATCCAAAATTACTCATCCATATATTATATGCCCTAAATAAAAATTCATTCATAAGACCTGAACATTTTCAACATTTCAAAAACACGTAAAGACACATACAAAGTTGTGAGTTGTAAGTGGAACATTCTCCAACACTTCTACATGCAATTCCTCTCCAGTAAGCCAGGAAATATCTGTGTCCCAGCCAATTGGTTTCTTCTCTCTGAAAAATGTAGACACAACAAGACTTTCTTGGTTATCATACCTACAAATCTTCATACACCTCATGCTGGAGATATGAAAATTGGTTATTGAGGGGCTAGTAACAGTGAGGGAGGTTTGGCTCCCTGGTCTTCCATCGTTAGAAATTTAAGTGGCAATAAATTAATTTTTAAGTTTACCCCAAATAAATGTATCACTCTTGGACAAACAGCAGGGTAAAGAGATGTACTCTTTTCTTCAAGTCAGCTCCAGAAAAGACCTACAACAGCAGAAAATGGATTGTACCTGGGGTCCAAAAAAAAAAAAAAAAAGAAAAAAAAAAAAATAACAGGTACGGACTTATCTATCCATACAAAGAAAAAGAGTACTCAAGGGACAACATGACCAAAAAAGGATTTTTTTTTTAGGATTCAGAATTTGGAGGTCTTGGAACAATGTTAGACACCTTCTGAAAGAAAAATAGTTCAATATAAAATGTTAATTTTGATAAATCTTTTGTTAAACTATGAATTTGTATTAAAGATGAGGGAGTGGGTAAGGGTCCATTATCCAAATAAATCATTCTAAATGGTTCAAAAATTTTAAGAATCTCCAAGTCCAAATAAAGTCATTTGATCAGAATAACAACAGTACAGTCAAACAAAATTATCTACTGTTAACTCCTCAAAGGGCCTACAAGATTTCTTCAGGCCAATTTAATATTTTTTTCTAAAGCTGATTTTCAATTCCGTAGGTTTAGGTAAAGATCCTACAGAAAACCCCAAAGTTTAATGTCTGGTATTTTTTTCTTTTTAAACAAAATTTCACATTACATACAAACCATACCCATCCTGAATTCTGTAAACAGCACAACATTCTGGGATTAGACCTCTCATCATCAATGCTTTCTTTAGACTGTCTCGGACTGTAACTCCACATCTTGCAGGTACCTATGGTATCATAAACATATGATAAGAGGTAAAGGGAATAAATTATATTTTTTCACATCATTTAAAAAAACTCAATAATTTACCTTTTTTTTTTTTTTGTCTTTTTCCGTGTCCAGCAACGGATTGCAACCCTCAGTGTCGCCCCCGTACCGGACCGGGACCAGCAACGGGATCGCAACCCCCTTTTTTTTTTTTTTGTCTTTTTCCGTGTCCAGCAACGGATTGCAACCCTCAGTGTCGCCCCCGTACCGGACCGGGACCAGCAACGGGATCGCAACCCCCTTTTTTTTTTTTTTGTCTTTTTCCGTGTCCAGCAACGGATTGCAACCCTCAGTGTCGCCCCCGTACCGGACCGGGACCAGCAACGGGATCGCAACCCTCACTGTTGCTCCCGCGCCTCACTCAGCCAGTGAGCGGGAACCGGTCTGTATGTGGGATCCGAACCGTCGGCGGGAGCGCCGCCGCGCTTCCCAAGTGGCGCACTATAGCAGTGCGCCACCGGGCCGGCCCAATAATTTACCTTTTTAATATAATGCAACTTTAAAATGTCATATGATTTACTAGGTCAGATACAACATCATTTCTACAGCTAACTTAATACTAAAAGGAAATTATAACCCAAGTACCTATTAGTAGTCACCAACTTAAATCAAAGCAAAATTGATTTTTTGGTCTTTTATTAAAATTATGAAATATTTTAGACATATTAAAAAAGAACAGAAAATATAAGAGTACCCACTATAACACATATACCCACAAATATAATGCACCCACCACTGAGAAATAACAGATGTCAACATTTAAAGCAAAATCAATTTTGATTCAACATTGTTCAAAGCTGAAAACTGTGTAATCCTTCAATCACACTGATGGGCCTTAAGAGACATCTTACTGACCCTAAACTTAGCAAGAAGAAAATACTTCTCTTAATGTGTATAACTGATATTTGTTGTTTAGTTGTCTATCATCTGGGAATCTGCCCTTCTCTAGAAATCCACACAGTACTAGACAGGCTATCCATCAAGAGTTACTACTTTCCTGGCTACAGATGATATGAGGTGGCTAATTAGTTTCCCATATCCCTGGCAACAGCAACTGGTCCACTGCTAGATATATGACCCAAACAGTACCTGAGTTCTTCCCTAAACTGGTTGAAAGAAGTGGACACTGGTTGAAAGAAGTTTCTGTTTCTACTATACCAAGAGGAAATAAATCTGGAGCCCTCAATGGCCATGTTCCACATTATACTGAGAAAATTTGGTTAAAGAATGAAGCAAACATAGGAAATAGAGATGATGCTGGGAGCAAAGGACAGAGAGATAAAAAGAATCTGTACGTTTAACATTATCCCTGTTCAGTCTTTTCCTTGCCTCATACTCCCAGGCGAATTTGAATAATTTGTAACTAAAAATGTGAACTAAAGTGAGGCAGTGGAACTACAGGGAGGTGCAGTTTATAGTGGGGGGTGTAAAACAGAAGGAGGGGATGTGTTACTTAATGACAATAAAATTAAACTTTCATTCATTTAAATCACTAAAGTATTTAGCAAACCAGAATTTTCCAAAGAAATTGGGAATTTTTATGCTAGAGAGCAACAAAATGGAGTAAAAGGTGAATATAAACAGCCAAATTTAAATACTATAGAGAAGAGGGAACAATCCAGAAAGGCTAATTAGGACCCATGATTAGAAACAAAGGAGAGAGATTTTAGCTCCATATAACCAGTAAAACTGTCCAGCCAGGGGAAAGTTTGTCATGAGGGAGCAGGCTCATCACCAGGAGTGTTCAAGAAGAGACTGGATTGGTACAGTTGATCCTTATTATTCATGGAGTTTGTATTTGCTAATTTGTCTACCTGCTAAAATTTATTTGTAATTCCAAAATCAGTACTCGCAGCACTTTTGCAGACATGTACAGAGCACTGGAAAATCTGAGTGAGCTGATGCATATACCTTCCCAGCTGGGTTGAACAGGATGAAGCTCTGCTTTCTTGTTTTAATTTTTATATTACGAGCAAGTGTCCTATACACAGCCTATCTGGTGCCACAATTTTCACACTTTTGTGCTTTTTGTTGGTGATTCTTCTGTTTAAGATGGCCTCCAAGCTTAGTGCTGAAGTGCTGGTTAGTGCTCTTGAGTACAAGAAGGTCATAATGTGCTTGGCAGAGAAAATATGTGTGTTAGGTAGGCTTCCTTCAGGCATGAGTTATCGTGATGTTACTGGGAGTTCAATGTTAATAAATCACAATGTAAATTAAATAAGGTGTCTTTAAACAGAAACACCCATAAAGCAAGGTTATGTACTGACTGACAAAAATGTGACTAGAGGCTTGTAGGAAGCTAACTGTACAGTATTTTGGGTTCCAGGGATTAGGGGGCTGATTCACCACAAGGTGGCAGTAGCATGCATAAACTGATTTGGGTGACTCTTTTGACAGATTTGCACACAGGGAAGTAAGTCCCTTACAGCATGAGACTGTCCAGAAGCTAAGCGGAGGGGCCACTACCCAGAATAGGAGGACGGCATCTAAGAGGCGGCTTATATGTCTAGGTGTCTTTGCTCAACATTCCAGCAGAAAGCCTCCAGATTAAAGAGCTCCAAAGGCAACAGCAGCTTGAGGTCTTTGTAGACCTGAGCATGATCTTGTCTACGGCTAACAGATATTGGACAAAAGCAATTTCGTGGGGTTTGCAAAGTAGGCAGGCTCTCAATGGCTAAAAACATGCTTGTCAAGATTATGTTTAAAGCAATTACACATGCAAAAACTTAGTTTGGTACAGACACTGTCTTAAGCTAACAGATCCCAGTCTGCTGTGAAGAAATAACCTAGGGGTCAATATACAGAGGCTATCTTTGGCTCATTTATATAACAATAACCTTTTATTTCCCCTAGCAGCAATGATTCAGTACTCACTAATTCAGTGTTTGTAGTGAATTTATAGAACATAACTACTGGGAATAATAAGAATTGGCTGTACCTTCCAGAAATAATGAACTGAAGGGAAAGGTCACTTTTCCTTCTGCCATTCATCTTCTGACTCCACTAACGTAAAAACTTCCTGACTGGCAACCCTATCTTTAGTTTTAAATCCCATCCAATCTACCACATCCAATCTACCCCCACCCCTTGTTACCACAGAACTCTTTCTAAAGAAGGTATTCTTAACTTGCACATATGTGTATGTGTGTCAAAGACCTTTTCTGAGAATCTAATGAAAGCCTCAGATGCTCTCTCTGAAATATAAAATTTCAGAGGGTTCACGCAACATGAAGCCCAGGTACAGACTACCGAGGAATCTATTGAACTTAGCACTGAATCCATTCTAAAATATAATCTCACGTTACACTAGTCTGCTTAAAATTTTCCTTTATATGATGAAATTCAGATTCCATAGTGAGGCATAAAAGGCCAACTGTGACCTGGGGCTATCTACTCCTCAGCCTCTTCGGTAATTTCCCTCATGCACTCTAGTAATGTATTTCAAACATGGCTGTGATCCCTCAAGCTTTTCTTTCTTTTTTTTTTTCCTTTTTTTGTCTTTTTTCGTGACCGGCAACGGATCGCAACCCGCCCGTACCGGACCGGGACCGGCCATGGGATCGCAACCCTCGGTGTTGCTCCCGCCCCTCGCTCAGCCAGTGAGCCGCCGGTCTGTATGTGGGATCCGAACCCTCGGCAGGAGCGCCACCGCACTTCCCAAGCGCGCACTACAGCAGTGCGCCACCGGGCCGGCCCCCCCCCTCAAGCTTTTCTACACATGCTAATTCCAGGTTGTTTTCATGATGAGGCAAGAGCATGGTCTTCCACTCTATCACCAAGGCAAAGTCATCAACCATTCCTTCTCATTTCATTTTTGTACACAGAATTTTTGTACTATTTGCTCATTCATGATAGTTCCTCTGCAACAGACGAAGAGATCAATGGAACAAAACAGAAAGACCAAAACAGATCCCAATACATAAAGTAAATGCAAATAAGATAAACACAGCATCTGAAATAGGGTAAAGATGGACTTTCTAATACTTGTTGTTGGGACAACTGGAATGAATCTAGAAAAAAAGGTTCATCCATACTTCATACTACATACCAGAATAAACTCCACGTGGATCCAAGATTTAAATGTTGAAAGAACAAAGGAAGAAAAGAAAAAAAAAGGAAAGCACAAATCATAAAAGAACTAGACAAAAACATGGCCAACGCCTTCACAACCTTTGAATGAGGAAGGCCTTTATAACTATGATACAAAATCTCAAAGTCATAAAATAAAAATATATTAAATTCAACTACACAAAACGAAAACATTTTTGGATGGCAAAACAAACGCACACTATAAATGAAGGCAAAAGACAAATGCAGGCTGTGAAAAATATATTTGCAACTTATATAAAAGGTATATTACCGTCCTGACATACAAAAGAGCTCCTGAAAAACTGAAATCAAGACCAACAACCCAAGAGAAAAATGAGCGAAGCATATGAAAGACAGTTCACAGAAACAGAAATGGCCTTCAAACATATGAAAAGGTGTTCAACTTCACCCAGAGAAAAGCACACCCAAACTTGCCAAGATATTTTTCATTTATCAGATTGGCAAAAATCCAAAAATTTGACACCATATTCTGTTGATGAAGCGATGGGTAAACAGGTATCTCAAAATTAAGCAAGACCTATGCAGCAAATTTAAAGGATCAAAATCACAAATGTAAATTTCTCTTTGATCCAGCTTACGTCTGGGAATTTCTTTTTTTTTTTTTGGACCAGCAAGGGGATTGCAACCCTCGGCATGGCATGGTCCGCACCACGCTCAACCAGTGAGCGCACCAGCCATCCCTATATAGGATTTGAACCCGCGGCCTTGGCGCTACCAGCGCTGCACTCTCCCGAGTGAGCCACAGGGCCAGCCCTGGGAATTTATTTCATAGATATTCCTGCAACATATAAGAATGACATATGTGCAATGTTATTCACTACACTATTGATTATATAGCAAAAGTCTGCA